GCTCACTGTTTTTTAAGATTTCTCTGCTGACAGTTACTGCCATTTGTTAAAAACAGGTCATGGTCAGTTATCAAACTTTGGGTTCTCCAGAGATGAACCCTTAGGGCTGGCATGGCACTTCTTCATATTTAAATCAAAGAGAGGGAGATGTTGGGAGACCTCTGTTATGCAAAAGTCGAAGCTTCTTCACACCGGATAGCTCATGTAGCTCGGGATGTGCTGCGGGCTCCTTTACATAACAGAGTGCTTCCCGGCATCTTTCCTGCCTCTTCTTTTGAGATGTCCGCCATGAATGCCCTAAACATTAACGTGGCCTTTGACTCTGAAAAGGTATCATACCTTCCTGTAAATTCCTAGCAGACAACTGTCTGGCAGAAGCCCACTTTTCACATGCAAAAGCATCTAGCAGCCAAGGCTTTTACCACAACCCCCATGGTATAAAAATCTTAGTCTTCTCTCAATAGCGGGGGAATTTAGGGAAACCGGGCCCAGGAATTCAGGGAGATCAGAGATATCAGAGAACTGAGTCTTAGATAATAAAGCTGTACAGACTAAAACTAAGCCTTGAGCCTTTGAGTCTTGTGTACCGGCGACCTAACTCCTCCGGAGGCCAGCACCTTCCGTTACCGACCCACGGATACTCTAGCTTCGCTGTCCTCGTGCCTCTTCCCTGTGGGGTTCAGTGGCCAGGAGCCCCACTATCCTGAGGAAAGGTATATGGGTGTATTAAGGGACGGGATTTCGACTGGACAAACGCTCCAGTAGCAGGGAAAGCTCAGCAGCAAGAGAAACTGCGGTAATCATCAGCTACCGCCACCCCCAGAGACGCGGGACCCGAGCCGCTGAGCCCAGGCGCGGACCCAAAGCAGCCGCCGGGAAGTCTGTGGACCCGCAGGGAGTGAGCATACGGCTGCGCCCAGAGAGAGAGTGCAGCCGCCCATACTGATGGGAAACTGGAAGACCAGAATGCTGAGAGGAACATGGACAGTGGAGGCCCAGCTCACGAGATTTCACAGGGGAATCCCAAGGGCTCTACTGGGAACTGGGACAGAGGCCATTCATGTTGCATTCTGGCAAAGAATATCTCTGTACTCTGCCCATGTCCTGAGTGAGGCTGAATTCAAAAGTAAAGGAATATGTTGCTTGGCAGAGGAAATTCTCACAGCATAACATCCAGAATGTGGCATGGTTACTTCTCACTACTCTTAGTCAGATCCATGGTGACAGTAAGTAGAAACATGCAAAAATTATGCAATTTGGCAAGGAAAAGAGTGTGAGATTAAAATAGCAGACAAGGTAAGCTGGGGAAAAGCAGCTATAATGATCAAAGAAGATTAGCACCATTAAAGAGAATGCTCATATTTTGTACTGGAGCAATAGGAGTTCAGTTCCCAGTGCCTACATGGCAGCTCACCACCGTCATAACTGCCTGTAACTCCTGTTCCAGAGGATTAAATGTCCTCCTCAGGCACCAAGCATACATGTGGTACATATACATACATGTAGGCAAAACACTCATATACATAAAATAAAAATAAATTATATTTTTTTTGTCTTTTTGAGATAGTGTCTCTCTGTAGCCCCAGCTGTCCTGGAACTCACTATGTAGACCAGGCTGGCCTTGAACTCACAGAGATTCACCTGCCTCTGCCTCCCGAGCACTGGGATTAAAGGTGTGTGCCACCACGCCCGGTGTTTTTAAAAAATCCTTTGAAAGAATAGAACTGAAAAGAGCATGAACTGAGAATGCCATTGAAAGAGTTTTCTGCTTGAAAACAACTAGCTGGAGAAGTGTTTTCCCTGGTTCAGCTACTAAGGTACACAGAGGCCACTACTTTGTGATACAAAGGGGCCAGACTATATGGCAAGCTGGCAATAGAACTTGACAGTGCCATCCATGTGTTTTCTTTTTTTTTTTTTGAGCATGCAAAATGCAAGTGTTATGGTGTCATGGAGGCTTGCTATCAAAGCCACTAAGGCCAGACATTGTGCAGTAAGGTTGGATTCCTTGCAAAGGGTCCTGAGAATTGGTTTTGTATGGTTTGGAGACTGATCTATGATAGCTATAGTTTTTGTTTCAAATGAGTTAGGTATTAAGTATGTAGCAAGCCATACAGGGCTTACAACATCTAGCAAATACACTGTGGAAGTACTGTTGAGGCAGTGATCTGGGGTTCCCAATTCAGAGCTTTCTCCCCATGGATGAGCTTCGGGCTTTTTGTTCCCATATCAGGCATTTTTATACTACAGGATAAACTCCCCCAGCTTCCCACTACAAGGACTGAACCTAGGATCTCATGCACACTGGTCAAGTGCTCTACCCCAGATGGATAGTCAAGCTACATCCCCCAATGGTTGAAACCTGTGTTTTGATTGGCTTGAATTTCAGAAAGACTTTGGAATTTAGGGAAATGTTAGTTAGCACTGTTAAGATATTAGGGACCTTACATATGAGCTTAATGCATTTTGCATTATGAGATGGTTATGAGCCTTTGAGAACCAGTGGTGGAATGTAATGTTTAAAAGTGATGTGTTGGGCCAGGTGTGGTGATCCACGCCTTTAATCCCAGCACTCAGGAGGCAGAGGCAGGGGGAATCTCTGTGACTTCAAGGCCAGCCTGGTCTACATAGTGAGTTCCAAGACAGCTGGGGCTACAGGGAGACCCTGTCTCAAAAAGACCAAAAAAAAAAAAAAAAAAAAAGTGATGTTTCAGTACAAAGTTGACAAGAGATGGACTTATGATGGTTAACCTTCATTGTCAACTAGACAGTATATGTAATCACGTATGAGAAGCACCACTGGGCATGTCTTTGAGGGTGTTTCCAGAGAGGTATGAAAGAGAAGTGGAAGAATCACCTGGAATGTGGGTGGCATCATCCCATGGGCTGGCATCCCACTGAATAAAAAGAGAAAAGAGAGAAAATCAGCTGAGCACTGGCATTCCCCTTTCTCTGCTTCTTCTTTTGTGCCACAGAGCAAGCCACTCCCACAGCCCTGCCTTCCCCACCATGATGGACATGGGTGTTGGGAACTGAACTCTGGTCCTCTGGAAGCGCAACAAAAGTGCTCTTAACCACTGAGCCATGTCTCCCATTTTCTCTGCCTTTCTATCTTACCTGTTTAAATAAAGAGAAAGTTCTGCAACAGAATAAAACATGGGTAAAGTGACAGGATGCATGGGAGACTAAGTTTAGATAAAGATGGTCAGGAAGACATCTCTGAAGAGGTAACATTCAGCTTATAAGATACAGCTGGCAGTGATGAGGTGTAGGCAGGAATGTAGAGTTCCTAAGACGGTTTCAAAGGCTCGGCAGGAGGTATGACACATTCACTGGCTCCAAACACTTTCTGATAGTAGGTGCAGAGAATCCTGGGTAGGGAAAATCTCTCCCTTAAGAATATAAGGCCTTTAACTTTACAGACCAATGGTAGTGGCCGCCCAGATAACTTTTTCCTGCTTCTTAGGCAGAACCTTGTGCTGATTTCTGTTTGGCATAAAACTAAGCACTCAAATATGATCTCAACTTTTCTTCCTACAGGTCAAGGTGGAGGTTTAGAGTCAGATAGCACAGTCCAAGGGGACACCGCACAGTAAGTCTAGATGACAAGGGTGCTAATAGTGGCCCCTTCCAGTGCTTTCCATGCTAAACGTGAAGGCTGGGAGTGAATTTGAAGGAGTGTAAGGGAGGGATTCCCTAACACACAAGAAGCACAAACCACACCACACATTTTAAAGAACTACCGGTTAGATTTGATGGTGTACTACTGCGATCCCAGCACTTGGGGGGCTGAGGTAGGAGCATTGTTACAAGTTCCAGGCCAGCTCAGAATACACAGCGAGTTTCAAGCTAGGGTGAATTACTGAATGACAAGAACTTTCCAAGTGTTGAGTAAGACTGGGTCAGCATTAGTCTCCTGCCTGTAAAAAAGTGACAGTAATGAACTCATTGCTTACTATTTCGCATAGCAGGAAACTCCAAGGTAGAGAATACAGAAGCTTTCAGTCTTCAAAGTCCTTATTATTAGTCATAAAAGTTTGCAGGACCTCTGGAAGACACACTTGCCAGGGTGCAGCTAGGCTCTACTAGCATGCCATCGGATACCCAGTGAAGAACAACGTCCAAGGTAGTGACTGCTAACTGAACTTGTGGTCTCATAGACTTCAGAGGGCATGGGAGCCGCAAGTCCCTATGCCTAGAGGGTGAATCTGGAAGACACCTTTAAGAGGGCCATGAAGGAGCCGAGCATGGTGCCACACGCCTTTAGTCTGAACATTTGGGAGGCAGAGGAAGACGGATCTCTGTGAGTTAGAAGCCAGCTGGTCTACATAGCGAGTTCCAGGACAGCTGGGGCTACAGGGGGACCGTGTCTCAAAAACACCCCCCCCAAAAAAAACCAAAAAACAACAACAAAAGGCCAAGAAGTGGGAGAGGGCGTTTGCTGCCAAGACTGACGACCTGAGTTTAATTTCCTGAACTCACACGGTGAAAGAACTGACTCCCTCAAGTTGTTCTCCTCTCCGCAGGATCGCACACACAAAACAAATAAAATGTAATTTAAAACAAGTTATTTTTTAAAAAAGCCTTCGTTTTGGCAGTTCTGCCTAACGTCATGCCCATAACGCATCCACGTTCTCATTGCTGGGGCAAACGACAAGGCCAGGTCTCTAATACTTTTTTAGTACTCATTTCTCGAATTCATAGACAGAAAGGCTCTTGGGGTTCACCTAACGATGTAAACACTTCACCTCCGGGTATAGCGATGTCTGCGGGTTAAACAGCTGTTACCCGGACCTTCCTTACAGAAGCCCAGGAGTCACCTCTGGCGATTTGCCCGCCATATCGCAGTGCTTTGTGGGGTTTGTAGTCCAGATTGCGCCATAGCTTTGGAGCTCTGCTGCCACAGGACTACATTATCCAGCAGTATTTACTAAATAGCGCGCGCGGGTCGGGTTGCGCAAGCGACTAGACTTCCGGAGGAGCCGGGGGCGGAGCTGGGCGGTGGCAGAGACTGGAACAAGGTGGCGGCATGCAGCGCCCCGGGCCCTTCAGCACCCTCTACGGGCGGGTTCTGGCCCCGCTGCCCGGGCGGGCCGGGGGCGCGGCCTCGGGTGGGGGCGGGAACAGCTGGGGCCTCCCGGGCTCCCGCGTGCAGCTGCCCGGGCGTGCACAGTCCGAGACCCGCGGGGGCACTGGCAGCCCGAGCGCTAGCGGCCCAGACTCCAGCAGCATCTGCCCGGCCCCCTCCGCGATGTCAAAGGCCGAGGAGGCCAAGAAACTGGCCAGCCGCGCAGCGGTGGAGAACCACGTGAAGGTGGGCAGCTGGTGCCGGCGTGTTGACTTCGTGCTACGCGCTCCGGGCTCTGCCAGGGCGAGCCTGGTTCCTGGAAGGGCGAGGGCGGCGTGAGGGGACAGGGTGAGCGGGGGAGCCCTTTGCCCGACCCACATTCCCATTCCCCCGCTCTCAAGGGCCTTTTACACGTGGAATCGGTGGGCGTCCCACGAGTCCTCTAGAATCAAGCTTTCCACCGACTCATTGTCCGCCTGGAGAGTTTGCATGGTGGTTGATTTGCAGTCTGGCCCGAGCTCTTGATACTTCCCTTACTTCCCTATCGGTCCCGAGCCCAGAGGCCGTTTCCAGCTGTTCTCACTGACTTTGGTTTGCAGAGTGTTTTGAAATTTCACTCTAAACAGCTTAGTTCTTCGCGCTGGGGAGCCTGAGCCCTCTGGAAGGAGAGATCTGGCAGAAAGAAGCCAGCACATAAACCTTCCTTTTGACAGGCGGGATGGACGTTTGACAGCTCGAGGGTGCTGCACTTTAGTTGGGGCTGCGATGTTTAGCAGTTACTCAGTAAGGTTGTGGCCCCACTTGTTAAGAGGCTGGTGTGGCGCTTTTAGTGGACCCAGTCCACCTGCCTTTGCTGTCACGGAGCAAATTAATTAATCGGAATTGTGTTTAATTGAGTACTTCAGCCAAAGCCAAGTGAAGTATCTGCCCTTTGTTAGATAGTGTTATCAGAAACCCTCCTTAGGAAGTTCTTTTCATTTGCTAATACTGTGCTGTTTTGAATTACTTTGCAAAGTTGATGTCCTTTGAGCTTTACTGTAGCCGGGGGTATGTGGGAGGGGCAGGGGGTGTAGGAAGGGAGGGGCGGTGTGATTACCTGATGCTGCCTGCTCGGTAGGAGGAGTGGCCTAACCACTTTTGCTACAGGCAGGGTAGCACAGCTCCTTGTTGTGTAGATTTTTCCAAGTCTAATTAGCAATAGGATTTTCTACAAAAATTAAGAGAAAGAATGTAAAATATGTAATTTGTTGACTGTTTGGAATTCAGGGCCACTCCTGTAGAATTGGGACGATGATGAGATCTCAACAATTAGAAAAACCCCGTATTGAGCCGGGCATGATGGTGCACGCCTTTAATCCCAGAACTCAGGAGGCAGAAGCTGGCGGATCTCTGTGAGTTCAAGGCCAGCCTGGTCTACATAGTGAGTTCCAGGCCAGCTGGGGCTACAGGGAGACCCTGTCTCAAAAAAGACCAAAAAAAAAAAAAAAGAAAAACCCTGTATCTAAGTTGTCCTGTTAATGTATTTATGTTAGTTTCCTGGTGCATGTCTCCTTGGCCCTTGTTTTATAGTTATGTGTTTGATTGAATAAAAATCTTCAAGCCTTCACCTCAGGTTAGAACCTCAAACACTGGATTCCAGTCACATCTTTCAAAGAAGCTACAGGTGGCCCTGGTGAGATTGTTTTGGGGAGACATCTGTTAAAATAATTATCCTGTGGGATTTTTTTCTATAGAATTTTTTCTATTTTTAGTTTTTCCTTGGCTTCCTAAAGAGAGGAAGATCTCTCTTCTGATTTTTTTTCTTTATTTCTTTTGAGGCAGGATTTGACTGTATAGCTCAGGTTGACTCATGATCCTCCTGCTTATGCCTCCCAGCTGGCATTATAGGTATGTGCACCACACCAGGCTTCCTTTGTCTCATAGACCCTTGATGTTGACTTATGCTCTAGTCATCTGCCTGTTCTCTTGCCTAATCCCCTAAAGGGTGAGCTCTGGGAGGAGCGTTAACCTTATCTACACATTCACTGTTGGCCACTGTGAGACCTGCCTAGGAAATGTTCAGTAAGTTATTTGGCGTGTGGACACTGATACAGAGGTTGTAGGATTATGGGTGTAGGTGTGTAAGTTATAGGTTTGCTTATCCTGTCTGGGTATAGGATTTCCAGTCTCCCAGCTCACTGGTGACTGCTTCTACTTCAGGGTGGATGGAGAACCTGGAGATTTCTTGAGAATCTTTTATCTCACTTGGTCCAGATCTGCTCATTTCTGGGAGTGTAGTTACCTGTGATGGCTTATGTGTCCATGCTCTCCTCATGGTCTGGATCTGCTGCTTTATCTTTTATTCTTAGTGCAGCCTTGGCTTTGCTTTAAGATTGCCTAATCTGAAGAAACTAGTGGATACCAGTTCTTGTTGGTCAGTAGTAGTATTTCCAAGGCTATCCCATTGGATAGGGTAAGTGAAGTTGTGATCTTCACATCTAAAATGTTGTTTAGTATTGCCCATTAGAAGGATTGCCTCCTGCTGGGCAACTTTGCAGGCAACTTTTGGCCACTTCTAGTTGGTGTTGGCTAGGGCACTAACTCCTGGGTTTATCATTTTATTAACAGGTAGCAAGATCACATAGTTTTAAGAGCTATAGGTCTGGCAGGCCCTAGCATTTCATCTTCTAGGAGCCAGAGGAAGAGCCTTGTACAGAGCTTCTGACATAACCAAGTTCATCTGTGTGCCACTTGTCTGTGGGGAGCCTGAGTGATGTGAGCTTGCTAATGAGTAATCTTACAGTTTGCTATATAGCTGGACCAGCTATATAGCTGGACCAGCTTCAGGTCAAATATCAAGGTCAGGTTAAGTTTACCTAGGCATTGAGAAGTCCAGACATTTCTATTACTTGAGTATTATCACATGTTGAGATATTTAGCCATTTTGAATGTTTTTGCATTATGTGCTGATTAGTTTTTGTCGACTAGGGACAAACCAGAATTACTAGGGAAGAAGGTACCAAAACTGAGGAATTTCTTCTGATTGACCGGTGGGCATATCTTTGGGGCATTTTCTTGACTATTAATTGATGTGGCGGGCCTAGCTCACTGTGGGTGGTGCCATCCCTAGGCAAGTGGGCTTGGGCTGTATAAGAAAGTTACTCTAGCAAGCCAGGGGAAGCAAACTGATAAACAGAGTTCCTTCATGATCTCTGCTTCAATTTCTGCCTCCAGGTTCCAGCCTCGAGTTCCTGCCTTGACTTCCCTCAGTGTGAGGGTTGTGACCTGGAAGTTGTATGAAGAAATAAACCCTTTCCTTTCTCTGTCTCTCTGTCTCTCTGTCTCTCTGTCTCTCTCTCTCTCTCTCTCTCTCTCTCTCTCTCTCTGTGCTTTTTGAGACAGAGTCTCCCTGAAGCCCCCAGCTGGTCTAGAACTCACTATGTAGATCAGGCTGGCCTCAAACTCACAGAGATCCACCTGCCTCTGCCTCCCAAGTGCTGGGATTAAAGGCATGCACCACCATGCCCGGCACAACCATTTCCTTCTTAAGTTGCTTTTGGTCAATGTTTTGTCACAGCAACAGAAAGCAAACTAGGACACTTTGTGATACCCTCTTTACTTGTCCATGAGTTCCATACTCTTGGGTTTGCCAGGCAGCTGATGACTGTATGACATGTGTTGCCTTCTTGAGGGCATCCTGATAGTAGGGATCTGGAAGATCTGCTCTGATGGTCTAAGCCCCTTGGTGCATTTGGTGAATTTGGAACTATATGTTATTCTACCAGATTAAGAACACACAACATTGATGGGTAGGAGAGGCCCAGCTGAAAACATTTTTAGTATACAAGTGTGTGGCTGCCATTAGGATTCGTATTTTTTTCTAATTTTTTTTTCCACTTGTTGTTTATTCTACTAATTTTTAGTTTTAGACGTAGTTTAATTTTGAGAAGGACCAAATCAGGTGTAGGGCTATGGGGATTAGTTCTGCATATTCCTGTGACTTTTATACGGAAGGGTTTTAGTGATGGCCCTTGTTTTCTGTAGCGGCCTCCAGCACTTCTCTTCCCCTACAGAGGAAGCCTTGCCCTCACCTAGTGAATTGTTAGTAGTTGTTGGAATACTAAGAAATTTGAAATGCAGTACTTTTTGAGCAAATTGAGCTTCCTGAAATTGTTTAAAGTGAGAGTGTGTGTGAGGGTGTGTGTGTGTGATTGATGAAGTTAAAGAATGATTTCTTAAAAAGGTAACAAGATAAGGACAACATCTATTCCTATGTCAAGATTTTATTTAACTCATATTGATGAAGGGACTGAAAAAGGTGTTAGACCTGCTCACAAGTTTCTTAACTTGCCAGCTATAATACCTAAGACTAGGTTATTTATAACAGAAATTTATTGACTTAGTTTTGAAGGCTGGGAAATTCAGTGTTAAGCTGCTGGCATCTGCCAGGTGAAAGAAAGGCAGAGGCATATTGGTGTCATTGGTTCTTTCCTTCCACCTGTATGTGGGTTCCAGGGATCAAACTCATGCTGTCAGACTTTCACAGCAAGCAAGCATTTCTACCTGCTGAGCCATCTTGCAGGTCTTTTTCTTTTTTTCTTTTTTTAACATTTATTTATTTATTTATTTATTTATTATTTGCGTGTTTGGGTGCACATATGCCATGGTGTATATGTGGAGGTCAGAGGACACCATGTGGGTCTCAGGGATTGAACTCAGATCATCAGACTTGGAGGCAGACACCGCTTTACTCACTGAACCATCTGACTGGCCCTTAATGATATTTTTGATAGTGTGAAAACAGCAAAAAAGCGTCTAACTTATGGTAGGTTATTGGGACATAAGTAACCCCATCCTAAATCAAGGAGTATCTGTCATAATGGCAACAAATTTCAACATGAATTTTGGAGGGAAGACATTTAAACCATAGCAACAGGACAAGTCAAAGATCCATACATTTATATATGCAGTCAGGAAATGTTAACGTGAATTTATAATTCATTGAGAGGCTGGAGAGGTGGCTCAGTTGTTAAGAGTGCTCTTGTAGAATACTTAAATTTGTTTTTTGTACCCATGTTGGGCTGTTCACAGCTGCTTGTAACTCCAGCCCCAGGGGATCTGACACCCTCTTCTGGCATCCATGGGCCCTGCACTCACATGCATGTACTCATACATAGATACACATTCATGATTAAAACCAAAATCTTAAAAAAAAAGAATTCATTGAGTAATACCTATAGTCTAATAATCAATTATATCTCATAGAACACAATTGATTTAAATTTTATGGACGAATTATTTGATTCGTTAACAGTTTTCTACAGGTTAAAGTTTGTTGCTACAGAGCTGTCAGATAGCACATACCCTTGTAGGGTCTGATAATACAAGTAAATTCCAGCTTTCTATTGAAAGGCTCTAGTAATCTTTTGCTATTTTCCTTCCAATGTTAATAAATCTGTAAAGTGAGGAGAGTGGGTCTCTAGGTCATAGAGGTTGCTGTGAAGTTTGACTGTCTGTTAACATTTGTAAGTCTTCTTGGTATCCCTTTTGGCCTTTTGGCTAAAGTCAAATCTAAGTCTTGATAGGTGCTCAGTAAGTATTAACTCTAGTTTAATTTTAGTTGCTTTGCCATAGCCTGGGAGGAGCTTGTTCCCAGGAAGCTGATTAGGAACCAGGCTCCACATTAGTTCCTGACAGTGTCTCCAGCTCTGTTTTATTCCTGTGGTCTGGCTAGTCTGCTCATGGGTGACTTCCCCATTCTTAGAATGGTAGCTTAGTATATGACATGTGTTCCTTGTCCCTTGTACTTAGGAAGTATAACAGATACTTAAGAAAATGCTTTATTAAAGGCCCACAAGATTCCCTTGGGCCCACGGGGTAAATAAAAATGGCCTAAAAGCCTGGCATCTTTGCCTCCATTTGCTTCTGTACTCTTTACTTTTGGTTAATTCTGCATGCAGGCTTGTTAACCACCCAAGGAATGTTTGTCTCAAAGCCGATGATACCCATCCCATTCCCCTTCAAGGCTGAAGGCACAAATGTAATAGTAACTGGTGCAGCTTACTGTCATTAACTCAAAGGCACCTGAAAGTCTCCAGTCACTGTGCTAAACCTGTGGTTGCCTTGGATTTCAGGAACAATAAAACTTAGGGGACATATCACTCCATGATGAAATCATCCACCAGGATGAGCTTTATTTCACTGTTATTTCCTTAAGCAATAAGGGCATCTTTGAACCACCTTCCAGAACTTTGATCGTTTGAGACAATGATCAAATAGACCAAAGTCTGGCCAACATTGCTTAATTATGTGTCTCTCTTGCCCCCTGCCCTGAGTCTTCTACTTAAAACTAAAGCTCACATCAGTACTCTGAAGGTGGCTGAATGCTTACTTTGTTGTGTCCTTCTAGTATAGCTAGATTGATTAAAATCCTTTCTTGCCTTTTCACCATTACCTCTGCTTTCTTTTGGGGGGAGTGGCCGGACCTGACTTGTTGGGGCCCTCAGTGTCAGGCCTCAATCCTGGACTCTGGCTACAGAAGTGCTCTGCGTGTATTCTATATCGTTGCTGTTGCAGATGAAGACTTTCTCATGACCCTTCCTAAACTTTCCTTCTCTTCCCATGCAAAATAGGGCCCTTGGGTGTTAGTTGGACAGAAGATTTGCTATTCTGAGGTTATTTCCAATTCTCCCTTCTTTTACTGACTTTGGCAGAGTTCTGGATAGTGGGCCTGATGTCCCCTGAGGTTTCCTGAGTTGCCAATATGAAGATGGAAGTCCCCTGCCTTCTAGGAGTTAGGCTTGTATGAAAAGGCAGCCAGAAACCCAACCTCCACTCTTATCCAGGCTTTGTTTTTATTTTTAAGTAGGACCTTTTTTTATTTTCTCCCCTGGGTTGGCCAAGAATCTCTCACCGTTTATTTGTAGGCTATTTCTGTGTGGCCAACTCAAGTTGGAATAGAGTTGCTATATCATGTAAGTGTGTAAGACTATTTGTGTGGTAGAATATAGGGAGGAGGGTATGGTGATCAGGTCAGTATCACAAAGGAAAGGGAGGGTTTTGCCATTGACACCAGGATAAAGCACAGCTTCGTAGTTCAGTGGCTACATGCCTGTAAAGGAGGCACAGTACCTGCCTTGTACCTGAGTTGTGAACTGTTCTTCATAATTAATTTCATAGCTCTACAAGTTGGTAGGCCAAGAGAGTTAAGTATAGTTGTAATACATTTTGTTTTTTTTCTCCTCCTTTTCGGGCAGAATAATCAAGTGCTGGGAATTGGAAGCGGTTCTACAATTGTCCATGCTGTGCAGCGAATAGGTATGTTCTGAGATGGTCTACTGGATGCTCGTGGAGGTGGGGAGGTATGAGAAAGGGGGGGAGCCAGCACAAGTTTGGCACTTTATCTGTCTTAACTCTAGCAGTTAGAGCTCCTGAGGTCAGTTTGTGTTTTGTTTTCTTTGGAAAGAGGGATTCTTGACCCTCTTCAGCTGACTTGGGATGCGGGGTGTGATGCTTTTGCTTTCCTTTACTCTGCTTAGCCAGAGAGAAGGGATTGACTGAGGTGATGTCCCAGCAGAATTTTAGTCGACTTGGTACACTCGCATATCAGGGGTCCTGCTGTGGTCTCTGGCTTACTCTGAAGCCTGTAGGTTCTTCAGGCAAACAAATTGAAGTCACAGTGTCCTGTCCATGATCCTGGTGTAGATGGGGCTTCTGTAGTTGGTGGCTGGTTGCTGCAGGTGCTGACTTCACCCTGATTGGGTCCTGTTTGTGGTTAGGAAAGGCTCAGGTATCATCAGCTCCTGTGGCTGCTCAACAGGTTCTACTGCCTTGCTCATTGTATGAACAAAGTCTGGGGAGGGGCTTGCCCAAATGCCTATCTCTGGTAGGTGCCAAGGGTCAGGGCTCCAGGTTCCCTTGTTGTAGTACTGGTGTTATGGCTGCTGGGAACTTTAGTACCTTCTACCTTAACCCAGTGTGTGGACAATTTTGGAGCACAGGTATTACTGTGGATTCGTAGAAATGACATCTAAACCTTCCAAGAAACAGACTTCATTAAGAAGACTTGAAATTTTAAGAAGACAGCTTTTTCTTTAAGACTTTTAAAATTAAAAGTTCCTGAAAGTTTAAAATAAATCTAAAATGAATAAGAACTCTCCTCCTCTTACCCATTGTCTAGGGCTTATAAATGATTGTATGTCTTAGTAAATGCAAAGTAAAGTTCTGACATTTCTTTGGAAAAGGCAATGTTGATAGTCATTAAGACCTTGGAGCTTTAGACTGTCTGGGACCATATCTCAGCCCTGATTAGCTGTGTAACTACCAAGGTGCTTTACCTCTCTGTGCTGGTTTCTTCCCCTGTAAAATTGGGATACTATTGCTTTATCTTTGTTGATTTACACAAAGCTCTTAGCATATTGCCAGGCCCTAGGCAGAGGATCCTCCCTCTGTGGGTTTGTCCCCTCAGGCTCCCTAGTGTCCCTGTCTTCTGAGGTGTGAGGTGAGGTCACTGGCTTTTTCACCAAAACTGGGAAGGCAGCTGTCAGTGGGAGATGGGTTTTTCCCCCATTGCGGATTTGAAGAAACATGTGTGACAAGAAAAGTAAAGTGTGGGGAATGAAATACCATCAGTGTGACTCTTGTCTCCACAGCTGAGAGAGTGAAGCAAGAGAATCTGAAGCTTGTCTGCATCCCCACTTCCTTCCAGGTATGTCATGCCCTGCTTCCCATTCTGTGTCTTAGCAGCTGCTGCCAGGGCTTGTGGTTCCCTGAGATTGTGGACATGGGCTTTGTGCTGTGAATCAGGTTGTTTAGCCAGGGCCAGGAGAGGAGCTGACCGACCAAGGATTGTTCTTTACCTGTGCAGTTTTGTATGTGTTTATTTACTAAGAATATTTTAGTGTATCTTGAGTTCAGGCACTGTGGAATATGAGTTGGTCCTTGCTACTATGTTTGAGACAGGGGCTTTGCTATTTTTCTGTTCATAAACCAGGCCCATGAGCTTCTAGGGCAATTAGGAGTGGTACTTCAATTGGGTTAACACCTGTGGGGGGTCAGCATCCTCCTAGTTTGTGTGTGGGGCTAAGCTAGAGTGGTAGAATGCTCAGAAAAACCCTGAGAAGAACACTTCTGATACAATGAATAGAATTGTAATCCTTTTTGGACAGGAGGGGCGTGGTGGCCTTGGAATGTTCCTTCCTGTACAACATCTTGTCACCATTGGTATACTCTTCTCTCTGCCTCCCATTTCTCCATAGGCGTGCAGAGATTACAAATACCTGTAGTGTGCATTTGACTTTTATGGTGGGCTCTGGGAATTTGAACTCAGGTCCTCATTGCTTGTGAAGCAAGTGGTTTTATACAGTGAGTCATCTGCTCATCCCCTTTTGCCATTTTCTTAATGGCAAAATTCATTAAGATTTCTTAATCCTTTTTATTGAGCATTCTTTGTTCTCAGATGTTTAATTTCTAAGAACCTTTTTGTTTTATAAAGTTTTAAAAAATTTTAGTAGAGGGGGCTGGAGAGATGGCTCTAGTGGTTAAGAGCACTGGCTGTTCTTACAGAGGACCTGGGTTTGAATCCCAGCACCCACATGGCAGCTAACAACCATTCGAAACTCCAGTTTCAGGGGATCTGATGCTCTCTTCTGACCTCTGTGAGTGTTTTACAACATGGGTGCACTTACACATATGCAGGCAATACACTCATACACATATAGTAAAAAAATAAATGTTTTAGTAGACTCTTTAGAAAAGATAGTGTGTATTGTACAAAATGGTGGGATTTATTATGATATTTTCATACATGAATATAATGTACTTTGTATGCTACTTTGATCATACCCTCCAACAGAGGAGTAATATCTAGAATGTATAAAGAACTTTCAAAAAACAAAGCATCAAGAAAACAAATACCCCAATCAAAAAATGGACTTTAGAACTGAACAGAGTTCTCAGAAGAAAAATAAAAGACTAAGAAATATTTTAAGAAGTGTTCAACACTCTTTATAGTATGTATAACTGAGTTTGAGAATTAGTCTTTTAGCAACCATTATAGTAAAAAATGTTATTGTTTAGTCTTTTAAAATGATCCTGTTTCTTAGCTTCCTCTTCATCTATTTTTTTAAAACAATTTAAGCTGAATTAGGTAGCTGTTGATGACCCCCAAGATAAAACTGTTACTACTACTGCACCAATGTTGTTTGCTGTGCTGGTCATTGATGTGGTTATTAGACCTTAAAACTGGGATTAGAACATTGCTTGTGTAGTGCTCTTCAAAGCTATGAGAGCTAACCTTCAGGGGAGGTGGCTTCCAGGTCAGTTCAGCTCTTGCTCCAAGTTCTGTGTCTGAAATATGTCTTTTCTTCAGCAGTAGGGTCTTACCTTGAAATTCTGGGAGGCAATCAAGGGCTGTGGCAATGGCCTGTGTAATTTTGGGAGTCTCTTGGACCACCCTGGCCAACAACTCAAAGGGAGGTTTCTCCTGTCTGTCAGTGTTTCTGTGTAGCCTTCAGCTCTACACATGAACTCATGTAGTGATATTGTATGTGTAATTTGTCAGTAGGTTTTTGGATGAATACAATTCCCTCTGGTTTTTTACTCTTGCTAGGCAATATTTATCTCTATCTCTCCTCTCTTTCCTTATCTAACCCACCCCCCACACCTTCCCCATTTAAAGTATCCTCATTTCCCCTCTTTCTCCCTTGACAGATATTAACCTGCCTCCTGTGGTTCTACCTCTCTTGAGCTCCTTTTTCCTCTTTATCCCCATAGGTCCTTGTATAGCCCTCCTTCTCCCCATCCCATTTAACTACCCCCATTTTACCCATTTCTTCCTTAGTAGTTCCTACTGTTCTTTCTCAGGTTCCTTCTTTCCTTTTACCTCCCTGGCTCCTCTCCATTTTCCTGGCTCCTGCAGTTATATCAGGATATGTACTCACTTATAAGGATTTGGTGCTAGGATTCACAAATGTGGGAGAACATATGTCATTTGTTTTTCTGATGTGTGTTACTTCACTTAGTGAAACAGTTTCTCTCGATCCATACATTTGCCTGCAAATTTCATGATTTTGTCATTCTTTACCATTGAGTACTCCATTTTGTAAATGTACCACATTTTCATTATCCATTCGTCAGATGAAGGACACTTAGGTTGCTTCTATCTCCTAGCTATTGCATTTTGTTTTAGTTTTAAGAATCATTTTTAATATTTTTAATATCTGTGTGTGTGTGTGTGTGTGTGTGTGTGTGTGTGTGTGTTGGTATGTGCATGTGAGTGCAGATGTGGAGCTCAGATGACCATTTGAGAGTTGGTTCTCTCCTTCCATCATGTGGGTCGTGTGTGTGTGTGTTGGTATGTGCATGTGAGTGCAGGTGCCCATGGAGGTCAGAGACATTGGATCCCCCTTGAGCTGGAGTTACTGGCAGCTATGAGTTGCCCAATATGGGTACTAGGAACTGAACCCAGATCCTCTGCAAGAGCAGTTTGTGTACTTAACTGCTGAACCATCTCTATAGCCCCTGTCTCTTCATTTTTAAAGAGAGGTAGGGTATGAAAACAGATTAGGCGGTCAGCTCTCAGGGCTAGACTGGTCTGCACTAGCCTTGACAGGCCATTGTCTAGATCATTCCTCTTGCTGGTCAGATTTCCCAGAGAATGCTGCCTGCTCTGCTTTGGGAGGGGCATACATGGCAGCTTATGTCCAAATAGGTGAAGAAGACTAGAGGACCACTGTCCACGATCTGAATATAGCTTGCTCTTGTTTCTCTTATTTTTAGTATAGTGCCATTGGTAGACAGGAGAAATTGTAACATTATGCAATATGTCCTTGAATCTGGGTGCAGTTGTGTGACTTGTTTGCTGGTGGGACATGGCACAGTGAGATGCCAACAGGTTTGAAAAGTGCCTTTGCATTAGGGCTTGACTCCCCTTGCTGCTGGATCATTCTGTCATCCTGGAAACAGGCAGAGACTAGTCTTGAGGCCTGGAAGCCATGTGGAGAGTGACTCCTGCCTTGTGAGTGAGGCTTTCACCTGCCAGCTCAGACAAAAGACTTCCCAGTCTGCCACCAGTCAGCTGCCTGAGGTTCTTTTGCTTTACCCGGGTACAAGTTGTGGGTAGGTAGGGAGAAACTTCAGATGCTGGTCTCAGCCGCTGTTGTTCCTCAGTGTTTGGCAGCATTGACCAGCAGAGAGGAGTAGGCAGGTGGACGAAGTGTAACGTAGCACTTTACAGCCCTGTGCAAGCCCTGCTTTCAGGACCCTTAGCCTTACAAGTGTTATGGTTCCTAGGCCTCAGGTATGGGAACTCTAGTTAGACCTTGGCAGCAGCCAGTGTTACAGCTTGCAGCCTGGGGTGTGAGATCCTTAGCCCTGAAGATGTGAGCACTCTCTGGTCTGGTGACCAGGGCTTCCAGGTTCTCTCCCCTGGTGCCTTGTATCCTTGTTTAGTCTTAGCTCTGGCTCTCCTGGTGCAGCTTTCCATTTCTGCTGCCCTTCTTTCTGCTCTGCCTATTTTCGAACTGCTTAGTTATTAGGTGGTTGACTACTGAGCCCTTCCACAACTTGGCCACTGCTGGGACCACTTGGGGCGCCTGTGTCCCCCCGGGACTGTTTGGAGCACCTAGTGGAGCTAGGTGGGAGCTAGAACACCTGACTGTCCGCTGTGCTTCATGGGACCACTGCTACTTTGGCTGGCCAACCATGACCGTTGCTGCTTTTGCAGCTTGTTGACTGCTCAGCTGTCACTGACTCTGCTGTTCTTCTGCCTCTGCTGCTTTGTGTTACCAGCTCAGTCTACACTACTGAAAGTAGGAAAGAAAAGACCGTACACAGGACAGAAGCCTTTCATTTGGCTTGGTGTTTCAGCTCCAGGGGAGGCAGCACAGGAGAATGCCTCTTAGCCGGATCACGGAGTCAGCCTGAGCAGCCTGCTTAAATAGTCAGAAAGGTGTTTGGACCAGTCTTGGCCTTGCTCCTTAGTATCAGTAATAGTCATTGAGTCTTGTGTTTCAGACCAGTCATGCCTTGCCTCTTAACATTAGTCAGAGCATCCCATTGCTAGATCACTAGGGGAAGTGCTCCCCCTAAGATCAGGTGACCTAAGTGGAAACGGTTGTAGGGACATCTAGATTTTACTGAGGTTTGTGAGATTAAAAGTGTATACAGACTATTTAAAAAGCCCTGGCTGGGGCAGAGCCAGGGCAGTCAGCAGTTGTTGCCCTCTAGTTTTCAAGGTGTGTATGGGATAGTCAGGGCTGCTGCTGCTGGCCTGATGGTCTGCTTGGCTGTTATCAGTGGTGTTTTTGCTCAGGGCAGCCAGGGCAGCAAGGAAAAGTCCAACAGTTGTTTAATTAGGGGGTCAGATTGCACCATCTCCTTGTCTTTGCTCATTTATAGGAGAACGAACATCAGAAGAGCTGCTTATAATACATACTTAAAGAATTTATCGTTAACATGATCACTGACTTTAACAGACCTTGATGGTGCTTAATACCTGTCCAGTGCCCAGGGAAAGGTGAGCCCCCTGTCTGTCTCAAATCCAGGAGAGCACAAGAACTTGTAGATAGGTGTTCATAAAACCACTCAGTTTTGGGGTAACTTCTGCCTCACTGATGGAGTATCCTTGGCCTCAGCTGACTCTGGCAGTCCTGTCCCAAGATTGACAGCTGTCAATCTCATCAGTCAACCTTCATACTTCTTTGACAGTAGGAGAGCGTGTGGAGGTATAAGACTCTTAAGTAGCCTTTCAATCTTCCCCTTATCACAGGCACTTTCTGGAGTTCATGACACTTCTTCCCTAATCTTTTGTGAGGCTCTGTGGTCTTCATCTGGTTGCTTCTTAGCTTTCTCCAGTACTGCTCTGGTATATCTTTATTGTTATTTGTGCTGTTTGTCCTCTGTCCACCAATGGCTGTATTAATTAGGATTCTTCAGAGAAACAGAACCAATGGAATACAAGGGTGACAGTTGAGTGGAAGTTGGGTAGTTAGGTACAGGCTGGAGAACCAGGAACACTGGTAACTGCTCAGTCTAAGAAAACTGACAAAGTTTCAAAACAAGAGGGACCAGTACAAACCCAGCCTGAGCTTGAAGGCCGAGGCTTTCCCCCTTTCATGGTGCAAGGCCTTCTTCAAAGGCTTCAGTCTGGAATCTGGTGTCCATGGGCAGCAAAAGCATCCACGCCACAAGAAAGGTTGATTGTGTATGTCCTGAGCCCCCCTCTTCCTCTTCTTCTTTTTATCTGGGTCCTTGGCCTGTAGGATGGTGCTGCAGAGAGTCAAGGTGAGTCTTCTGCAGGGTCAGTTCAATGACCTACATGCCTGACTTCTGAAACACCCTCCTAGACACCCAGAAGTATGCTTTATCTGTTTTCTAGTTGTCTCTCAATCCAGTCAGGTTGACAACCAAAATTAACTGTCACAGTGACCTAGCTTAAAAGTTGGTTGTTGTTTTCAATGTGAGATTTATACCCTTAGGAAAGTCTTTGTTGTAAGTTTAGAGAGGTTTTGAGAAGGAACAGAACTAAACAGAGGTGTTCAGAGTCCTATCTTTAACTGAAACTTGTGTTTATCTTTAATATAACAGTTTTCTAGCTGACCAGTGTTTTGTGACAATAATTGATAACTGTATCCAGACTGGAAAATGCTGGTCAATTCCAGTAAATTAGGTGGGGCAGTCACTCAGAGTTCACAGAGCTTTAAAAAATTCATTTGCCCATTTCCCCCACCCCAAGGCAAAACTTATTTTGTGTTAAAATTAGCCAGATTCAGTCTTCTAAAATGGTTGAGCTGGATGTGGTGGTACGTCTATAATCCCAGCCGTCAGGAGGCAGAGGCAGGAGGAATCTTAAAAATTTGAGGCCATAGCCAGGTGTGGTGGTACATGCCTTTAGTCCCAGCACTTGGCAACAGAGACAGGTGGATCTCTGTGAGTTCAAGGCCAGCCTGGTCTACATAGGGAGTTCCAGGTCAGTTGGGGCTACAGAGAGACCCTGTCTGAAAAAGACCAAACAAACAAATAAAATTTGAGGCCAGTCTGGTTTACATAGCAAGCTCCAGGCCACTAGGGCTACATAGTAAGATCCTGTCACAAAGAAACCAAATCAACCAACTAACCAAACCAATAAATCAGCCAGGGGCATCTTGTGAGGTCCTTGTATAGGGACCTAGATTTCAGTTGTGTTAAATAAAAGTTATAGATGCAGGCCAAGTGTGGTGATCCATGCCTTTAATCCCAGCACTTGGGAGGCAGAGGCAAGTGGATCTCTATGAGTTCAGGGCCAGCCTCTCTCCTAGCCTGCTTCTCTAGATTCAAGTTACTCACTTATCCATTCCAGATTTTGCCTGTGTATACTCTTCTGAGTATATGGAGTCCTTTGCGTATCAATAGTGTGGCCTGGAAATGACTATAAGTGTGCAGTGATACTGGTCTTTTATTTTTCTTTTACTGTTTTAAGGTAGGGGTCTCCCTGTGTTGTCTATGCTGGCCCTGAACTTCTGAGCTCAAGTGATTTTCTAGTCTCAGCCTCTCTGATCTTATTTTGTGGATTTGGGTCTTATTTTAGCTCCCCTCCCCTGACTGGGCTGGGGAGCTAATCCAGGGCCTTAGGTATGGCAGGCAAGTGCTGTACCACTGAACTCCATTCCTACTTCTTGGTCTTTTGAGACAGGGTATCATTCTATATAGCTCAGGCTGGCCTTGAATTGGCTCATCCTGCCTCAGCCTCCCAAATGTATTATAAATTTTAGGAGTACTCTGGCATTGTTTCATAAGCAAGTTGGGGAAAGAAAGTTCTCAGCTTGGCCTAGGAATGGAGTCTTCACTGTGTGCTATATATTTTCCCTGTTTCCAGAATGACTTAGCAGTTAGTTGTACTGTTTGTGGGACTAGATTGAACTCCTACCTGTCAGGTAGGGGGATTTGGGATATGAGAGGGAACCTAGGTCAGGCCTTAAGGTTGAGCGCTTAAATACGAAAGAATTCTGAGGATCCTTACCATGTTTTCAGAGTAAATGATTGTGTTTGCTTTTTCCTGTCCTCCCCAGGCCAGGCAGCTGATCTTGCAGTATGGTTTAACCCTCAGTGACCTGGATCAGCACCCAGAGGTAAGAGAGAGAAAGAAACAGAGCTGTGTCTTTCTTACTTTTTTTTGTTATTCTTAGTTATTCATGGGCTCTAGATACCTTGACAGTTCCAGAAAAGACTAATCATAGTAACTTTTGTCCTGAGACTCTGAATATAATTCTGGCCGAACTTACAAGGACAGGTTAATTTCTAGTGTAGGTACAGTACAGGTCAACTTCCCTGTGATGGTCAGCTTCCCTGCAATTTAACCTTGAGGACTCAGTATGAATGTAGTAAAGGGGAGCTGGATAGCCCCAGGGCTGGATCCAGGGTTTCCTGAGATTCCTTTCTCATGTAGTATGAGCTGGTAGAGAAAAGAAGTTCTCTTATGAGGCAACCATGGTCATTTGAAAGCTAATTAAAATTAACTTTTGTGGATGGGCAGTCCAGAGGAGACTCAATTTGTGGAGACTGAGCAGCATCTCCTGTCACCCCAGCACATTTTCTGAGCTATTTTTTGGTATTAGGTATTGGGCTTAGTGATGCTCCTGTATTATGATCTTTAATATAGAGCTATCTTGGTGGAGGTTACTGTCCTAGCTTGGTTTCTGTTACTGTGATAAAACACTGACCAGACCAGCTTGGGGAGAAAAGGGCTTCTTTCACCTTAGAACTTAAAGTCTGTCATGGAGGGAAGTCAGGGTAGGATTTCAAGGCAGGAGCTGAAGCAGAGACCATGGAGGAAGGCTGTTTACTGGCTTGCTCCCCTGGCCTGTGCTCAGGTCTGGCATCACTCACAGTAGGCCGGGGCCTCCCACAACAATCAAGAAAATGCCTTACACAGGCCAACCTGATAGAGGAAATTTCTCAGTTGAGATTCTGTCATCTGAGGCGTGTCAACTTGACAACTGAAGCTGTCTAGAATGGTTACCATAATTATCCCAGTGGATGGATGTGGAAAAGGTAGAGGGCAAGTTAAAAGTTAAGTCCTTATCACAAGTGGTAGAAGCAGAATTAGAACTTGTGTACCCCAGGCTTTAGTGTTGTAGGAAGAGGCCAGGTTTTAGCAGACCTGTAAAGAGGACCTTAGGAGGGGTCGGTAGGAACCATGGCTCTGTGGGCATATGTGGCTAGCACCCGGACTTTCTAGGGTAATTTGGGCATAATAGGGCAAGTGGGTATGGATTTGATGTGGTCTAGTAGTCTATGTCACCATAGTCTACATGGTGATGCCTTGGGAGGGGCTTGCTGGGTGATTTTTGTGGGTAGAGTTGGGGTACAGACTGAATCAGCTATTTAGCATTTGTGAGGAGAGTGCTTTGGGCTGAAGGTGGGCCCAGGACTCCAGTGGGTCCCAAAGAGTTGCCACAGCCCAGCCTGGGCCTAGAATTAGTGCAGGACTGGGAAGGAACAAGGCATGCAATGTCTTCAAAGGCTTGAAAGGATGGAAACAGCGGTGCCCTTCTCCAAATTCTCAACTTTACACCTGTGCACGCAAGCCACGTCAAACAACTGCAGCACGAATAGAAGGTGTTCCTTGCAAACTGCTGTTTGAAAAACACACACCCGAGTCTCTGTGTTGTCCATACAGAGTGCTGTGAGTGCTTTTGAAAGATGAATGGATCCATTTGCCCCTTGATTGCTTTTGGTGCTGTCAGTGGTGGCTCCTGACATAGGGACTGGGAGGAAGTAGATTATTGCTTTTTGGGGGTCTTAGAAGGAATGCCTTATATACCTTCTAATTCAGGATTGTACTGATGTTTTTCATCTTTAGAGATGTCTTCAATTGATCTTGTCCATTTGAAATTGCCTCTATCTGTCCACATTAGTTCCGACTGCAATCAGTTTTTCTTAGCCCGTTTCATTATTGACTTTTCCTCTCCCCATGGTAGTTAGCACCACAGTTATGCTGTATTATCTGCTTGTGTATTTGTGGGCCTTTGGAAGGCCCGATACTGGGGAAGAACTTGCTTCCACCCCAGTATAGCCTTTATCAGAAGAGAAATGCATCTTATTTAATCCTTGGGGATTCTTAACCACCCCTGGGACAGTTTTTATCCTTTGAATGTCTTTTGTAAACTGTTCTGGTTTTAAAGCCTTCCAGATATTAATCTAAATTCTTTGTGCCTTTACCTTCCACCCCTCGAGCCAGTTTTTACTTACTTGAGGGTGATACTGCCATTCTTGGGAGTGCATAAGTAGTTCCACCTTGTCCATAGAGAGTAAAGGGAGCAGATATCGTGGGTAAGAGCTATACAGAGGTGTGTATCTCAGGGAGCTGATGTCGTGGGTGAGCTGGACTGCCGTGTGTGTCTCGGGCCTTGAGCTCCTTTTTCTCTGACCTTAGCAAAATGGCTTATCTTTTTGGAGCCTCTGTCTCTTCTTAAACGGTTAAGTGGAAATCCTGGCCCTAGGGAGTAGGGCTGCTGAGAACCTAAGCTACCCTGTGTGGTCAGGCTTGGCAGAGTCACCACTCATGAGCTTTTTTCGTCCCTGACAGATTGACCTCGCCATCGATGGTGCTGATGAAGTAGATGCTGAGCTCAATCTCATCAAGGGTGGTGGGTGAGTGTTGTGGGAACTTTCTTGCTAAAATAGTCTGTCAGCTAATCCTCAGCAAAGCAAAATGGGTTATAAAATAAACAAATTGTCACTGATTCATGTAAGTTTGTCTTTCTACAGTATATTGACACCATATGCCTTTAAGCCAGCCTGGCATTTCTGGTCATTAGTGTTCATTGAGTGACTGGCAACTTGGGCCTCTTCAGTGAGATGATTCGTCTTAATGGGTTCTCTGTGTGTCTACGCACAGGTTAAGTCAGCTTATTTTTGAGTTAGACTGTTAGGTCTGTGGCTTTTGCATTAAAATTGTAATGTCTGAACAGTTGGGGGATGCTAGTCCTTCATTTGGAAAACACTAGGTGCTTCCTAAGTGCTGGTTTAGGGCTTAGGGAATGGTGAGGGGAAAAATGTGCAGTCCTGTTCTGCTGGTTCTTAACAGTCAAGCAGATAGCTGAATAACACAGTGTGGTTTTCATGTTGTGTAGTCTTCCTGCATGCAGGTGTGAGGTAATTTAGTGAACAGTAGAGATAGGCCCCAGATCTGCTAATTCAGTCAGTGTCCAGGGCTCTTCACTGCCATATAGTCCACAGAGCTGGTGTTCAAAACTGATTGTCCTCTTTGCAGAACAAGTCCAGGGACATCTCCCTGAACACAGTGCTTCCTCTCAGATGCCTCTTGGAGGGGATTATGTTCTGCCAGAATGGGAACCAGTGTCTACTTTCTAGGTGTCTACAAGACAGGATGTTTCTGTAGTCCTTTTACTAGAAAGTAGTGCAGTAGGATTTTAAAAAGTCAAATTTCTCTTTAAGTGCCAGTGTTGAGCAGATTTGGGATTCCTATGTCTGATTCTAGTTCTCAAATTAAGATTGCCTTCTTTAGTAACCATTTGCTTCTTTCTCTCTTCAGGGGCTGCCTGACCCAGGAGAAGATTGTGGCTGGCTATGCCAGTCGCTTCATTGTGATTGCTGATTTCAGGTACTGTGTCCAGAGTTCTGAGCTGCATGCTGGGAAGGTTGATCTGACTCCAAGCTTCACCCCTATGTACAGAGGAGGAAGGTTGTAGAGAAACACAGGAACTATGAGCTTTCTAGGTAGGACTTAGGCAGTGACTCATCCTCCTGCTGAAGGTGGCTATTGCTCATTATTGCAACACTCTTGTACCAAGCTGGGTTCTCCACCACTCATGTGTTCATGGGTGCAGGGAGGAAACAGTTTGCCACCCTGTAACAAAGCTCACCCTCCTGTGTCACTCACTAGATCCTCCCAGGGAGCCTCAGGAAGCAGAGGAAACCCTGCCCAAAGGCCATGACTCAGCATGCCCTGCTTCCTCCCAGGTCAGGCTTTGCTACATGTGCAGTCTTTGACCAGTCTCTGATGCTTTCAAGTAATCTGGGGAAGGCACTTGTGCTGAGCATATTGAAAAAAAAAAGACATATATGTATTTACTCATGAAATGTAGTTGTAGGGAATGCATAAATAATAAACACATGTCTAATAAATGAGCCATCTATATTAAATTTTAACATTTTTGCTGCATTATTTCAAGTTTTTCTTCAATAGTAAAGCAGCCAGTTACCTTTGAAGCCCCATATATTGTCTCTGATCACTTTTTTCCTTCCAATGTTAGTTAACCCCATGGCTGAATTCAGTGTTTGTACCACTGTGCTTATTTAATTTTATTGTGATTTTGACTTTCTTTCTAGGAAAGACTCAAAGAACCTTGGGGATCGATGGCACAAAGGGATCCCTATTGAGGTCATTCCAATGGCCTATGTCCCAGTGAGCCGAGCTGTGACTCAGAAGTTTGGGGGTGAGGTGGAGCTTCGAATGGCTGTGAACAAGGCAGTAAGTGCCAGGGAGAGTTGCAGAGGCACTTGTAGCTGTCAGTGTTCTGTTACCCCTTCTGTGCCAGTTAGGCCTTTATTTATTTTTCTTTTTATAGGCCTTTATTTTTAATTAATTTGATCTTAGGGAGTTGACTTTAATAGTTTCTGTGTTAAATTTCACATAGATTATTGATTAAGGTCATACTTAATATAGTTCAGTCCCTAGTATAAAAGGGGGTATGGATCTTTTCTTCCTGAGTTATAACCCCCTGGGAAGCTCCATAGAGCAGGACATTTTCCAGTTCAATGGTGTAATATTTTCCTCTTATGTCATTCTAATTGGGACAGTCCCCTCCCTACCCCCCTATTTTTGCAATGCTGGGAATTGAACTCAGGGCCTCCGGCATGCTAGGAGTACTCTACCACTGAGCTACATTCTCAGCACTCTCATTCTATTCTGAAATGTAACAAGAACTAGACTTTCTTGGGGAGAGATGAGCACACCCACAGTGTTCACATCCAGTTCAGCTTCTGTTTGTAGGTTATAATAATTTTTTTTCCTGCATGTAAATAAAAAAAAACAAAAGCTGAATTATATAGTTAACTATATATAGCTATGTAAAAGTTCTAGAGAGAGAAAATAAAATGATCAGTAACTTTACCCTGATACCTTTTTATTTTGACATGATTTCTTGATATTCTTTTAAAAAAATAGTCCCAGTCATCATGATTATACAGGGCCTTGACCGATGCTGTGTGGCTCAGTTTGTAGCAGAAGATCAGGGGGAGGTTTTGGAGTTCTTTCTCACAGTTGAGGTTAGCTCAGGCAGGAGCCTTGGCCCTCACCTTCACAGAGTTTTTTTTTGTTTTGTTTTTTGTTTTTTGAAGGAAGGTCTTAAAAGTAGTCTAGGCTGGCCTTGAACTTGCTATGTTGTGAATGTTGACCTTGAACTCCTGATTCTCCTGCCTCTACCTCCCAGCTTAATTTTACTCCCACCCCTTTTTGACCAGGCTGCAGGGGAGTCTTATCTTCCTTACTTGTGACTCTGTTCTGTCAACATTTATGTTAACAAACAGATTTTTCTAGTGTCCATAGCTGTGAGGAATTCTGGATTCATCAAGTAAAAGCTTTCTTTCCCCATATCCATCAGATTTTTGTTCCATCTCTGCTCTGTCTTTTTGATGGGACTTTCTGATCAGAGCAAGTTATGGTGGGTGAAGTAGTCTTATTTCATTATTGATGGTACTTATATGAAGCTTTGAGAATGTAGTTTGATGTTGGCAATCTGTTCTGTGGAGATTTTCACTATGCTAATAGCCAAGACCTCACTGTGAGACCTCACTGTGATAAACGCATAGTTTGCACATGAGCTGCCTGTGATGTTGGCATCACTGTTCACCTTTCAGCAGTTGGGAAACAGTAAGGCTCTGAAAAATTAATGGTGCCTCTAAATTCTCTACCTATGTGGTCCTAATACTAAAGTCCAAGTCTTCAGGACTCTAAAACCCCTGCTCAGAAATGCTTCCAAGCACCACCTTCTAGAAGGCACACAACAAGAGTATGGATTGAGGGCCATTAATAGGAATACTTACCTGGTTTTCCTCTCCACTTTCCTATCTTCTGCCTACTTTGGTCATTGTGGAAAATTATCTTCTAGGGGCCTGTGGTGACAGATAACGGGAATTTCATCCTGGATTGGAAGTTTGACCGGGTGCACAAGTGGAGTGAAGTGAATACAGCTATCAAAATGACTCCAGGTAACCTGAGTGGCATTCACTGGACATGGTCACTTTCCCTTAATAACTGTCCCCCACTTCTGGCTGCAGAAGACATGATGAATGTGTTCTAAGACTTAGTTGGGAAGAACTCCCTTTATACCATGTCTGGGATTTTTAACTTGAATCATGTTGATATGTGTATATATTTTGTACTGTTTGAATTGGAATCTTGCCTTGACAAAAGGCCATCATCTTTGGGAGAGCCTGTTTTATTAGAAGCTTGACTGCGCCTCTTTGACCTTGGTAGGGGAATGACTCAGTTCACCCACATTCAGTGGATACATATGGGTAAGAAGCTGTCCGTGTTACAGGGGAGACTTCAATCTACAATTCCTGGAATTGATCCTGGAGGAGAGTTGATGTAAACTTGGGGAAGGCTGTGTGAAGCCATGTCTGCAAATATGGAAAATGCTAATTCTGCTGGAGAAATAGCAGGAGTCTAGTGCACAGAGATTTCTTCTTTTGGAAAATGTATGGCAGTTACGTAGAGGTGGCATTGACCTGTGCATAGCATAATTTAGACACTGCTTAGTATTTTAAAAAGTTTCATTGGATTCCTACTTGTTTGAGGTAGTTACAGGAGACAACACAGGCTGAGAGAGTTAAATGATTTGCTCAAGGACTGCAGCATCAAGGTGAGAGCCCTAGGTTGTCTGCCTCTAGACCCTCAATTTTAATGCTCACTTGCCCAAGTGCCAGGCTGAAGAGAGGCTGTATGATATGGGCATAGACTGTATGCCAGGGGATGAATGATGGAGTAGGAGCTGGGATGTGGTTCTGGGGGAGGGTCAAATGAGCTGCATAGAAATGAGTTAGGAGTCTGGAGCCCTAGTCCAGGCTTCAGGAAGTATTGAGAGTCAGAGCTCGTAGGAGGGATTTTAATGAGTAAGCAGATTTGGAAGGCATTGTTCTTTTACAGTGTTGAGGAATAGTCTAAACCAGAGCTAGGTAATGAGGTAGATAAGGTGAGTGGTGAGTTTATCAGAGTGTAGCGGCTGAGAGTGGATTCTGGGAGCACATTGCCTGGATGAAGATCCCAACCCAGCCATGCTCTAGCAGCAGACACTGGAACCCCTAACCAACAGCTCTGCTTCAGCTCCTTCCTCTGTGAAAAGGGCTTATTCTAGTACCTACTGCATATAATTGTGAGGATTTAATGAATTAAATCAGCATCTAGAATACAAGGCATGTTCGTTGGATGACTAACTCATCTTCATCATTAATTAGATATACTAGATTTGTGCCAGATGTAGTGACACATGCCTGTAATCCTGGCACTCGGGAATTGGAGGCAGGAGGATCAGGAGTTAAAGATCTTCCTTGGCTACATAGTTTGAGGCAAACCTGGGCTACATGAGCCCTTGTCTCAATCCTCTCAGAAAGTTAATAAAAAAATGTTAGATTCCAAGTTACTTGTATTAGTTGGGAATGAAAATGGGGTGAATATATGCTGTTTTAAGTATGCTAATTCTTCCAACTATCCTATTTTAGTCTTCTTTTGGTAATATTTATCTGATTTCTTAAAAAAGGTGAATTAGTCTGTTGATTAGTGTTATCTCTTTAACAGAATAGCTAAAAAGGCAGGAAAGCAGGAGGAAGAGATGATACAGAGGTCCCTGTAAATGGAGCCCTTTGCTCTGTTACTGCTGACAGACCCTTTGTGAAGTTGGCTCCTCTTTAGGTGGAGTTCCTGCAGTGCCCACTAGGGGGCTCTCTTGCTTCTGCTAGGCCCTTGAGACTGCTTGGCTTGAGACTGAGATGTTTTATATGAGAGGAAATTTTATCCATCTTGTTCTCCACTAACTATGAAAATATACACCCTAGAGGAGTTCAGAGTTTTATCAGAACCTCGAGTGAGGAGGATGCCACGATCTCACAGATCCATCGGTAGTTTTTTGTTGATCCCCTTTTCATTTTCTTTAGATTTTAGTTACTGGATCAATATCAAGGGAAGAGGAGCAGGGCAAGTTTTCCTGTTTATTCCCAGGTGCATTTGCACAAGTGAGGACACTCAGAACAGTCCCTGTTTCATTGGGTTCCATTGGGCAGAGTACCTCTGTTGAAAGGCCAAAGTCAGCGAGGCCCTTCTCTCTGCTCATACCCAGCACACTCTGCCTTTTCTGCTGGGTTTTATTTGGGGTGAAGGGAGCAGTCACTCCTAGTACCTTAGCAATGTGAGGCTTCAGAATCATACCTTAGATTGCTGCCCTGTCTTCTTTCTTCATAGCTTTTTTGAAAGCTGTTTTACTTTCTCTGGGGCCAGATGGAGCCTCCAACTTGTACTACAAAGGCTTTGATCATAAGTATCAGGTATTGCTTTGCCCATCTTCAGGAAGCTATAGTTGTGCAGGCAGTTTGGTGTCAGAGACCTTCATGTTTCAGCCACTCACTGTCCATTTCTCTTGTGTGTTGAGCGCTGTCCATGGAAATTTTAATTGTACCTATACTTTGAAATTATCTTGTTCAAAGTTAGGGGTGAACAGTGGCAAGTGCCCCTTCCCTCTTTCTCAGACAGTGAGTTATTCTGTCCAGAGGCAGCCAGTGTTACCAACAATTACATGGCCTGTTTTGATGGGCTTCCACAAAACACAATTTGAAAGCCCCCTCATGTTCTGTTTCCTGTTCTTTCTCATCCTGGAGCTTACTACATATTGAGTTACAAAAGAGTGACCTTTTTTTTTAAAAAAATAACTGTGATACTCTATTTTGTGGCTGTATGACATAAATTACTTACATTTCCAATCGTGTGCAAGAATAGAAGTTCTGAATCAAAGGATAAGGATATCTGATTTTCAAGTTGCCCTTGCATAGAGTACCAGTTTACTCCCCTACCAGCAACCGACTCAGGTTCCAGTTTCCCTATGTACTAGGTCCATTCCACCTTTGGTAGTTGGTCAGTCAGTGTTATCTCATTGTAGTATGTGTGTGTATATGCAAATATTTTTGGTAAAGGCCAGATAGAGTTAATTAATTCTCATTGCTGAATTTATGTATCTATTTTACTCTGTGTGTATGTTGTATGTGTATGTCCATGTGCGTGTGCTGTTGTGTACATACAGAAGGATGTTGGGTTCCAGCTTTATCATGTGCCACTTTAGTCCCTGTCCCACTGAACCTGGAGCTAGACTGGTGGCCAGCAAGCCCTAGTAATCCTCCTGTTTCTGCCTTTACATCCTGCTCAACTGTAAGTGCTCATTCTGGTGACTGGGTAGTGTTTCATTCCCTTTGACTAGTGAACTTGAGTACCTTTTAAAACACTTACTGGCTTTTGGGGATGGCTTCTTTTATGAAGTACATGTTTAAGTCTTTTCTGCACTGTCTTTTTCTTAGTGACTTGAGGAATTGCTTATATAGCCTGATTTGTTTGTCAGGTGTATACCTGCAAAGACATGTCGTCCTCTCTGAAGAGGCCTCTTGAGGCTGGTGGTGTGACTGAAAATACCTGAGAGGAGTGTGGGCTTCATAGAGTAGTCTTGGGGGGCGTTGCTATAGCAGATGCTGTGTCCTCTGATACATCAGGAGGATGAAGAAGAGCAGCCTTGAAGCTGTTGAGGCTGAGCAGTCAGGAAGGTAGGACAGCATGAGCAGAGGCTCTAGGAGGGGGACAAAGCTGGCACATTCGGGAATACACAGCAAGTTGTAGTGGAGAGGAGAAAGGTGACAGGAAGAAACAGATAATTCCGGTCTCTTCCAGTTGCTCTGTGGGAGAGTAAGACTTTATTTTAGATTGGTGTTTTGTTCAGTGCTGCCTATGATGTTTGCTTATGGTAGCCCTGGAGTCCTTGGTTTTCTCTTGCCTTGGGAAGGTGAACCTTCATGCTCCTTTCCTTCTTCATCCTACAGGTGTGGTGGACACAGGCCTGTTCATCAACATGGTGGAGCGAGTCTACTTTGGGATGCAGGATGGCTCAGTGGACGTGAGGGAAAAACCGTTCTGCTGACCCTGTGAGGAGCAGGGTACTCACCTGAGTCTCCAGCCCAAGCACAGTGGGCACACCTCTCCTGGAGCCTTTGCCTTAATGTACCAGTGCCAGGGTGGACAACTGGCCAGGGGTTGGTGGGAGGGCAGTCAAATCAGTCTTATGAAGTATTGCTATGTGTCTTTTTAAAAAGAGAAATTTAAATATATATATTTTTACTATTAAAATATTGTTTTTTTATAAAGTAGAATTTGATTTCATGTTTTATATGAAACATTTACCAAAAACAAAAAATAAATAAGGAGAGAGGTTCAGGACTATCTTTGAAAGCCTTGACTTGAGGTTGCTGGTTACACTTCTGAAGTATTGGATCTAAGAAATAACAGCCCCTAGTTTTCCTGATGATGGTGCAGTGAAGGGCCAGCCAGCAGCCATCTCCTGATGCCTTATGGGAAATCCTGTTTACTTTCCTGCCATGCTCTGTTTGGTGTTGAGGTAGTTTTTTCATTGTTAACACACAAAATTCCTAGTTACATTTTCAGATCAGGTTTGCAGAAGTCTCTGAGTGGAGCAGTGTGTTGCAGTGACTTGGAGTGTAAACTACCAGGTGAGGACGTACCTTTGTTACACCCAGGGCTTTGCCGGATCCTGTTGTTGGAAGCATTGTCAGCACTGCAGAACACTCCGTGAAATGTGAACGAGCACTTATTCTTTCTTGTTGTTTAAAGGATTTTCTTTCTGTTGATATTTTTTCCTGTTCCTTTAACTGCACTTGTATGGTGTGGCATCAGAAGTTGTGACTTCTTTGTGTTATTTGAAGGTTGAAATAAAACACTGTTGTGCCATTTTGACCCTTTGTCTTTACTATAGAACCATTGATGTGGGAATCAGTTTTATTCATACAGTTTGTATCAGATAAGGGGTGAGAGTCACTCAAGAAATTCAAGACAAAGCAAGGCAGATGCTTCCTATGTTTCTTGTAGGCTATGCTTTTATAAGGAAGTATGTATTCCATAGATCTCTGCTGGACAGTGTTTGTTTTCCTTGTCCGTGTGAGGGCAGCACAGCGGAGTACAAGCCACACGCCCTGCTTTTATATTAGACCTTTAGTCCTGGAAGCTGATAAGCAGTAAAATAGGTGCCTGAATCATCTTGTTATTCCCTCAACTGCCTAGTAAACAGTGAACTGTCTAGAAGCAGCTTCATAGAGAAAGACAGGCCATGACCAGCTCAGTGATAGTTTTAGAAGGGCCTCACTGGATCAGTTCTGTTAAACATCCCTGTTCCAAGGGCCCTGGTTCCCCCATGCGAACTGTGCACAGTATTTTAATAGTTTTCTCAGCCTTTGTTTTGAAGCCTAAGCTCTATATCTCTTATCTTTTTTTGACATCTAAATTCCTGCAAAATCAGGTTGCAGAATAAAAGTTGATCAGGACTGGGCACTGACATTTTCCCTTCCTGAATTCCTATTTTTCACTTTTAATGCAATTTCTTCTCTCATGTTAGGAAAGTTAATGTTAGGAGTGCATTACTTTTCATTGGTTTGGGCGATAGCTAATTCTTGTATAGAATAAGCTGAGAAAATAAGTTGTAAAACAATCCACTTTTTGTGGTGTATATTTAATTCAGGGATATAGGTAAACAAGTTCACCCTGGTTTCTGAAACACACCTGCTCGCTCCATATCACGTGTCCATGTTCTGTGGGTTTCACATGCATTGGCACCTGCAACCAAATTGTAGGATTTCTTTTGAATGTTAATGTGAGGTTTTTGTTCTCTTGAAGAAAAGCAAAACACCTGGTAGACATGTACATGGTAGTCTGGAGGTGAATTTTGATGAAAAATTATTCAATAAAATTATTAAATGTGGCCTTGCAAGTGATAAATTGGATGAGCAAACAGGTTTCTATCAGTGTATGTGATCAATCTTGGGAACGCAAGACAAGCTGGAGTTTGGCTTTTGGGGGAAACTTGGAGAGGAGAAAAGTCATTTGGACTTGATTAAAATCTATTCAGTTTAGTTTCAGCTGAAGCTTAGTGTGAGGAGGCGGAAGCAAAGGCTTGTAGCTTTGAACTTGTCCTGTGTGCCAAGTACTGTTGTGACTTTGTTATCCCACAGCTCCTTTTAGTGTGCCTTAATTTGCAGAGAGAGAAACTGAGTTTAAGTAATTTGTTCAGGTCGCACCCTGGGGAGCAGGACAGACTTCCCAGCCCAGTTTCTACTTCTAGGTAGTTTTGACTGGCTTGTGTCCCTTGTATCTACCATCAGTTGTAAGTAGTCACAAGTAACTTGTTAGATGACTAAGGGCAGTGAATGATTTGTTGCACAGATGTGTGTTTGTGTAAGCTCATATTAATTTTGTTTGTCTGTATTGTTGAGTTTGTTGGGGAGAAAGAACATTGCACCTAACCTTGGGTGGGCTGTGGGAGAGTGCCCTTTGACAGTCATCAGTGATTGAAGTGGAGCTTGAGAACCAGTGCTTTTCCCTGCCTCCCCATGCTTCCCCTCCTCGGCTTTCTCCTTGTGATATGGGCGCAGTGGCCACCATAGGCATAACCCAGGAACGGGGATTGAGAGTCCTTTAGTCGAAGTCAGTTCAGGAACACAAAGTTGGGCTCATTGGCTTACTGATGAGGGATAGGTTGCTGTGGCTAGCTGTGGGGTGTTTTGGTGTTAGGTCTCGGAGAAGCTGGGCTTGTGCTTGGTCTCAGTAAATGGCGGCCTTACACACAGTGATAGTGTTTTCTCCAAGAACTGCAGACTATTTAACAAAACCCCCAGTTCCAGGCATGGGAAACCTCACTTCAAGCTGTTGGTTAGGGTAGTCAGAGAGATCCGCCATACTACAGGCTATTGCCACAGCCCTTGGTTGCCTCCCAGAATTTGATGGTAAGACCCTATTACTGAAGAGACCACACACTTCAGACACATCTTGGAGGAATTGAGCTGGAACTGACCTGGAAGCCTCTTTGAAAATCAGCTCTTATAGTACTGGAAGATGCCTTGTAAGCTGCCAAGGGAGAAAAACAGCTGTACCCAGCTGTAAAGCTTATTAATCAAAATGACCACTAACAGTATAATAATTGTACTTAATGGTACCTTTTTTTTTCTTTTTTGTCTTTTTTGAGACAGGGTCTCCCTTTAGCCCCAGTTGGCTATGTAGACCAGGCTGGCCTCAAACTCAGAGATCTGCCTGCCTCTGCCTCCCAAGTGCTGGGATTAAAGGTGTGTGCCACCACACCCAGCCCAATAATGGTGCTTTTATCTTGGGAGTAACAAACAGCTGTCTACTTGGACTTAAGGCCAGCTCAGTAGGAGGGAATTTATGTCTGATACTGAAAAACCTAGTAAAACTTGTGGCTGGGGACATCATGAACCCTAGAGAGAACCTATTATTGACATTTGCCCAAAACAATGCAATTTCTAACTATTCTAAAACATCCTTAAACCCACAGATGAATGTAGCCCTCAGCCCTCATCAAAGAAGCTTATTTTTGCAACAAATGGAGACCATTACAGAGATCATAACTGGTCAAAAGACTGATAATGTGCCCAGCCCCAATTGACACACCACTGGCTAATAAGCCAATGTGGATGGGACAACTTTCACAAGGTCGCACCTCTAGATGAAGAGCTACAGGCGATTCCTAGCTGCTGAGAGAGAGAATCCATTTTCTTCAAGGACAAACTCCCCAATCGGTTATCCAATCCCAAGTGATCAGCTGTAAACCCGTGCATAGTAGTGCCACTAAATGGACTAGTAGGTTGTTTACACATACATGGATATATGTAACAATAATTAGAGGTTAGGAAATTGGAAGAGAGTGCAGGAGAACATGGGAGGATTGGGAACAGGGAGAGGGAGAGGTAGAAACGATGTTAGTACTCACGCATGAAATTCTCAAAAAAATACCCCCCCCTCAAAAAAAAAAAAACAACCCAGGGACTTTGCTCAAGACCCAGCAGGAGCAATTCTGTGGGTGGGTGGCTTAGGAATCTTACCTAAGTGATAAGACTGGAGGGAGGCTAAAACTGCTGGCATTGTAAGGAAGCAGTCAGAGTTAGCCAGGTTGGGGCGGGGGGGGGGGGCGTCTGGTCCTCATGATTTGAGTGTGTTCCTTATTTGCTGTGTCCAGGCATCATTGTGGAGATCTTGCTTCTTACAGCACAATTGTAGAGTGGCCTTGGCTAATGGCCACTGATGTTCCATGAAATTGTTTCTGTTCATCAGGGCCTAGCTGTGAGTGCCAGGCTAGTTGGTAGTCATCCCAAGGACAGACTGCGAGCTAGGCCAGTTCCTTTTTCTTGGGACTTGGGCTTCTCTAAGCAACTCTACCACACCCTGTGATTAACTGGCATCAAGCACTTACTGTGATCTGGACACAGGTATGGTGAGTTGGGCTCTGGGTACCCTATGATGTAGATCTGACCCATTGGGGCCAGGACAGCAATTTCTCAGATGGCTGACTGCTCACTTCCTGTCACACCTAGCAGCTGATACAGCCAGATTTAGGACTGTATCAGCCTTCGTTCTCCACTAACCCAGTAATCAGGTGATGTTTTGACATAGGTTCAGTGCCTTTGTGTTTTTAGTAACTAGGCTGTGTCACAGGGCAGCAAAATGCCCCAGTGTAGCCTAGAACCGAAGTGGACCAAGTGGGCCTCAGCAGGTAAACATGCACCTGTGCTTTGAGAGCAATGGAGAGATGGCGCGCATGGCTTAGGGGGAAGCACAGTCCCAAGAGGGAGGGTGAGGTCTTCCTTGCAGAGGTGACACCATTGTTCCCTGGACAGTGAGCTTTGTAGGTTGAGTAAATAGATTCAGTGTTGGACCTCTTCTGCTGTACTGGGTCACTGAGAACCTTGGCATAGCAGTAAGGTGGGAGAGGAAGCAGCCGACTCAGGGAACTGAAGTCCTGGCTGGTGTTGTCAATTGTGGCTCAACCCATTCTCAGAGAATGCCAAAGTTCAAGGGTACCCCACCCCGAGTCTCAAACAGGACAGAGTGTTTGTTCTCATTTTACTTGAGAAGCTGGTCTTGGTCTAGCTGCACTTAGCCTGTGTTCTTCTGTGCTGAAGATGCTTCCCTCTTTCGTTACAAACCAACACCTGCAGGGACGACCTAGTACAAGGGCAGCACCAAAGGCCAAGAATAAAATGGTCTAGTCACCACACTGAAAAAAAAATCTCAAAGTATTTAATTCCAGATGTGTAAAATACTATATTGACAATCTGTATTTTACTTTTTTTTTGGCACTACATCTTTAAGATATGTGTATTTTAATTTAGGTCTATCTGGGACTTGCCACATTCCAAGGACTCATGAAATACAAGGGCTCATGGCTACAGACTGATATAGTATTGGAGAGCAGAGATCTAGAATTACACAGGAGCATGGGTGTGGTTCCTATGGTACTTTCTGTAGAGCTCTGATTGCTTAGAGCAAGCCCAGACTTCTGTGGTCTTAATATGTTTCTGATAGGCAGAAGCGAGTTCAGTTATATGGAGAGTTGTCCCAGAATGGTTCACTCACTGGCTGCAGTTCAAACAGACTTTGAGTCTATGCTTTGAAGAGATGATTTCCTTAAGTTTATAAATGCCAGTCACTCTCGGTCATAGGGTATCTTTCTTCCCGCTTCGAAGTTAGGTGATTATTTTAGTTGGAAGCTAATTTTTCTGAAAGGCAGTATGATGAAGATGGTTACCTAAGTTTGAAATCCCATTCTTTTACTTCCTAGATTTTGGGTCGGTTTTTTTTACCTGTAAAACTGGGCAGCCCTTTTAAGGTTTTACTGAGCTAATCCATGCCAAAAACCTAGAACAGTAAGTAGTTGACACATAGAACACTTA